AGTGCGAAAATACCAAAGTTTTTCTTGTGCTTTGGAATGTGAAATGTAGTGATGGATATTCGCAAGCCCAGTGTCGTAGCCAGGATTATGCAAGGGGGGAGGGTAAACTTTAGAGTAGAGGCTAAGTTTTTTAGTTTTCGTAAGGTTTGTTACTCAATTGACCTATTTAAGAACCAAGTTCAGTTGTGTATATAATATACATATATATATATATATATATATTATAAGGTGACTTTTTGAGTATGCTTACCCCCATTTTTTCTTTTAGTACCTACATTTATTCATATTGTGATTTTTAGAATTTTTAAGGTATATTTAACTACCAGATTTTCAAATTCTTGATATTTTTTGTACTACTTAAAGAGTGCTTCAAACTTCTGTTTTTAAAACGAGAACCCTGTTTTTATACCGAAAATTTTTTAGCAGATCATTTTATTGAAAATGTTGATGTATCTAAATAAAAAATCTAAAAGTTTCTGAATTATTAAAATGTTTAAATAAGAATAATAATCCTGAAAAATGATTTCCTAAAATACAGACTATGTATATTATAATATTTAATATAAGATGTAGAAGATACTTATTATACTAGGATAATTTTTAAAAATTATTCTTATTGATATATCAATAGTGATAATTAACATTTTCAAATCACATATCTACTCTACTTAACCGATTACCAATTACCATAGACATACTATCACAAAGTTATATAACTCAAAAACTATTCGTTCAACTTTTGTTTTAGATACATCAAATTTCTAAAAAAAAATATCTGCTGTATAATTAAAAGTGAAAATGGTTTAATGAAAATGAAAAATGAAATATGGTAAAAAGTTCCTATTTGAAAAACAGAAGTTCTAATTGTCATAGGATCATCCTTAAGTGGTTCAACAAATCTCAAATATTTGAAAGTATGTTACTCAAGTGTAATAAAAAATTCCAACAGTCAGAAGTTGAATATATGCATAATTTAAGCATACGAATAGGATGAGCATGCTTAAAAAATCTTCCTGTATACATATATTATAATATGTTGTGTGACAAGGGCGGAAATTGCTTTCCCGCACGAGCCGGTACATTTTAATTAATTGTTTTATTTTATCTTCTTAAATTTCGTCATTTTATGAAGGTAGAAGACGGGTAAAATGTTTAAGCATGGTTTTATGTGATAAAAATCGCTGATCTAGTAAAAAAAAAAAAATCAATAAATGGAAAAAATAGAGAAATCGTAAAGTTATCTTCAGGAGCATTGTCTTGTACATTGTAACGATTTGTCTGAATATTTGTTCAGAAAAATTTCAATATTTAAAGCATCACATTCAGTTTTAACTTCTTTTAACTATTACTATAACCGTACTCATAATCCATAGATATAGGTTTACATCAAAATATTGAATGTCTATGTTTTATTATCAATCTGATATCTGGGCGAGTTATCAGATACGTTTTGCTTTTATTTATAGACTGACATCAATGTAATTTTTTTTTATAGAAAGTTGGTACTAGAATTAATGAAATATTTAAATAACACATTTATTAAGAAAAAAAGATAATTGGGGAGTTGGTGGTTTAAATTAAATTTAACTCCGTAACCCTTTAAAGTTTGGTTTTTGAATTTTGAATAATATTGAAGTTGAAAAATTAGTTAAAAATGTATGAAAATCTTTTCAAGTAAACTTTTTGACAAATTCGAATATTTATGTTTTCAGAAATTTTATCTTGTAAATAGGTTAATAGGTTAGCTTATATGATTGTCAAAAGATTGACCAAAAAAGAAACAAAATAATTAATATACATTGTGTAATGCGTTATTGACGTGTACGTGGTGCGTGTGGGAGCGCACCTCTAAATTTATGTTATTCAGTCACTCACACTAATGATCACTTTACTATACGCACCTAAAAAATTTGCCAATATTTAACTTCTTAAATATATAGCTTGATCGAATCCTCATGCTGACGTTATTTCGATTAAGCGAGTCTAGATTTCAAATCTACAAAAAATTTTTATATTATAGTTATAATGATTATTATTCCAGTGGCGGTTCTAATGGTTCTATAACTTATGGGCAGAATTGGCAGCTGCCCGTACCAAACTGTTTGATGTTCACCTGTTAAAAAGTCATTTTAATAAGTAAAGTAAAAAATTCATTGTTAGTTGAAAGAGTGAAAGAATGAAAATAGTTCCTTAATTTTTAAACCTTGTTAAAAAAAATGTGTTTTTTAAACTTATCAGTTATACGTTATTACTAATTATAATATAAGTACCTATAACTATTTTTTTTTTTACAGAACTAAAATGTAAAAGAATAATTAAATAATATAATTGAAGATATTGTAAAATTATCCTTATAATAATATATTATGTAACACATAAAATGTTTCTACCTGCCCATGTAGCTACACGCCAGCTGTGTTCTTTAATATGCATTCCTAAACTGTTAATCCCATTATTGAGATTAAATTTGGTACAGAGATAGATGAGGAAGAATAGAGGCTACATTTTGTCACGAAAAAAGGTAAATAAGAGGTCCAACTCGGGGAGGTTCTCAAATTACGATGGAAATTTTTATTTATATTGATTTTAATAATACTAATTATTATTAATTCGATAAGCCTGTGTATTTGAGTACAGAGTGTATCGAGTTCGAACCACATTTTCGGTCTACCAATTTTCTTTACAATTTTTGATACTTTAGAGCTAAATTATACACTAACGTACGCACCTCGTGAAGTCCTCGATCTACCACAGGTAGATTGCCTATACCTACCTGATAATATTATACTGCTCACATAATCACGTGAGAAACTCACGCCGGTCGGGATGGCTATATAAATTGAAATATAATATCATTTACACTTAAGAAGACATTGCGTCCACAGCGTGTTACACCCAATAGGAGTTGAACAATCACAAAAACCTAGCAATAGCTAAGCATCCAGTTGTTAAAAGCTGTTAAGTCTATGTATTGTACACGTAGAGCATAGGTGTTTATTATTTTATTGTAGTCTATTAAAAACGCTAACAATGATATAGTGGGTAAGTGTCGCTGTACAACAATGTAGTGATAAATGATTAACAAATAATTGATATTATAATAAGATAAAAACGAATTTTAGCCCGTGTGGCTTAACAGTAAAGGTTACAATTTTGAATTAAATATACTAACCCCGGTCCCCGGATATTCTGTCATGGAATATTTTTGAGGGGATATTTTGACCTGGATATTCTGTCGTGGAACCGAATATTTACATAATATATAATCTCTGCAGGGATGAAATAAAATTTTAAAATCTAAAAGGACACCGTTTCAACCCAGTTGCTTGTGTTAATAAACTACATACCTATTTAATTTTGCCTCTGTTAATGTGACTTATTATGCTCAGAATTACGGAATGACGTTCATCCTGAAAGACCGGACGGTCTCGTAAGAGAGACCACACATGTAGTAATACAGTATTTAGTAACACTACCACGTAATTAAGTAACTTAATATAAATACCTGCCAAACAAAATAGAGAATTAGTAATATGTAAACACTACAAGGCACCAAAAAAAAAAAAAATGTATATAAACAGAATAACCTACATTTTTTTTTAACTAATTTTTTTTTACAGATAATAATATTATAATACAATGTAAGTAGGATAAACAATGATGGAATAAGATGTAAAATAGTATAATATGATAGTAATCATAGAAGTGATTATTGGAATTTATATCAAGATATCGTACAACTATTAGCTCAATGAACTATAATTAATAAATTAATAAAATAAAAATAGTATATTTACGAAAAACGAAAACAATCTTTACCACCTGATTAGGCAGGTTAGGGGCTCAATATATCGGTACGGTTTTCGATTTCAGTATCCTAAGAGGATTAATTAATAGGTGTTCAGGTCCTTCCTGGTTTCAGTAATGTGTTTAGAATGTTCCGACACCTGAGGTATACTTTTGATTGCTAGAGTTTCCAATATCCAATCTAACGATAGTTCCGTCTTTACGAACTTACGACCGTATAATATAGGTAATATAACATAATATAATACATGTTAAAACTTACTCATAGAGTATATTATTATATTACATTATTACATTATACAGTCGGCACGTCGATACCGATCGGTAAGTAAAGGTATATATACACTTTACGGACATCGGGTAACCATGTACAATGGTGTTTAGGGTTGGTGGGCTGGGTGAAACTTTTGACAATAATATTAGAATAATATAATATATATAATATAGTTTGCCGTGGGTAGGTGGGTGCGCGGGACGGAGCGTTATTGTGGAGTGTTTGGGAGGGTAGCACATGTGTATATAGCGAAGTGGGTTTCGCATAGCAAAGTTTTTAATAATAATATAATATCGTAAGGGTAGTAACCCAACTACAGCGTGACCGCCGAAAACGCGTTTGACCGGCCAACGTCCCCGCCGCCGCCGCCGCCGTCACCCTTCCCTCGAAAGAGAGCAATCTTTTCGCGTGACCCTTTGGCCCGATGATCGTGTGCGTGTGTGCAGTGTGTCTCGGCGATCAACCCACTCCCGGACGGGCAGACAGCCGCGAGTATCGCCGCCTCCGCTTTTCCCTGTTCCACACGAAGCCGCCGCCGCCGGTTCGCGTCCGCTGGCTGGCCGAGACACGCGCTTACACTGCAGCACGCAAACGTAATACGTAAACAAGCGAGCGCGCGCGCGGTCGATCGAACAGCTGTTCTCCCCCTCTCCGCCAGCCGCGGACGATCGCGGTTCGCGTCCACCGCCGTCATGTGTGCGCCGCGTTTTCCGTCTTCAGTCAACCGTTTTCCGTCGGCCGCCGCGCGTCTTACCGTCTCGCCGTCACCGTATCCGTCCGCCGTTTACGCATTTTCTCCGTTTTCGCCGATTTCGCGAAGTGCGTCTCGCAGTTTTCCTCGGATGCGGTAGTGCCGCCGCGGTATGAATAAGTGAACCGTGTTTTTTATTCTCACCGTCGAACCGGAAAACGCTGAAAAATGCTGGGAGTCTTCAAGAAACGCTGGAAGCCCAAAAACAGGTGAGTTCGATCATCGTCATCGAGTGTCGTTAAACAACTACCTCCTGGTCTCATTACCACCACCTGTGCGCCTGCGGTAGACGTACCAATCGTACCAGCAAATGAGAAATTAATATTGAAGTTATTGGTAGACGCGAATGTAATTTTTAGCCCGCGGTACCATTACGAGTACCAGGTGGTACTTTGTGTGTTTGCCTCGAAAATAGTCTTTCCGAGACGTTATAATAGGTTCGTAAAAAATTGGGGGACGATGAGTTGTACTACTTAGTGGTCTTACACTCTTACCGGAATTTCATCCCGTTCTGTTTTTTTTTATTTTACCTACTATTGATTATAGATCTAGTGATTTTTGTCGATTCTGCGAAAAAACTCGTAACGAAATGTGTTTTGATCTATTTACTATAATAATAGAACTCGAATACATTTTTAATTTATAGTTGGTACCTAATTCATGTCCGAGTCACTGCAAGCCATCCAATTACGTAAAAAAAAATTAAAACACGTAAACAACAATGCATGGATGAAACCAATAAATGTTATATTATTTTAATGGTATTAAATATACAAAGTATTTTTATTTTACGTTTATAATATCGCAATGTTTTTTTTTTTTTTAATTAGGTTTGCGTTTTTTGTTGTTGACATTTACCAACATTTTTTGTTTCCAACACTTATTAAAAACATTTTAAACTTGACGTTTTGAATAGTTGTCGAAAACGCGGCATTTGATCTAGTCATTACTCATTGGTGAAATGCTATTGAATATTTAATCGTTTTCATTTATTATGCCACATTAGTATTATATTCAAGTGCAGACTGAATAGGTCATTCTTATAATGAGTATGAAAATGTTTCGTTTTGTTGAACAGTATTTGTTGTTGTTGTTGTACTTATATACTACAAGCCCTGCCAAACTTTTGTCATTAACCTGTTCGGTGAATGGCCAAGTGGGTTAAGTGTCAGTTAACACTTACATAATTGTGTTATAATTTATGTATGAATATCTATCTTTATTGTGTTTTTGTATTTCTATTTTATTAAATTGTTATAAAATATCAAACAAATCGTAGTTAGGTCACTTAGGTAGGTAGTTACTAAGGTTGTACATTTTTATAGTAGTATTTGTGACAAGTAATAGTTATTACAATCTACTCGTCAAAAACGCAGGTACCTTCATAAACTTCAACTGAAACTAGTATTTTTCAATTCTTAATAAATTATTTCATAATTATTACAGTATTATTATACTATGGAATATTTGACTAAACCTTAGAAAGATAATAAATTTATAATTTATTTCTAACAAGAATTTGCATGTACCTACCTCTATACCTGTACTGTATATAATAATTAATAGTTAATGCCAGAAGGTTATACGTAGGAACCTACAACGTATCTACTTTGAATAGAGGTTTCTATCGAACAGTCGTAATTCTAGTCGTTTCAACGTCTGAAGTTTGGAGTAGGTTGGTAATTTTGTTATCTTATTGACGAAAATTAATTAATTAGTAGGTTTGAAATCCGGAGTATTCTGAATTTAGTGAAACATAGTTTACATCAGTTGAGTTTGTCAGTAGTTGGTACAGTTTGTCAATTGTATAGTAAAAGTTTCAATGTTTCATTTCCTATTTCATTTTGTTATTAAGTTTTTGGCAACTTTATATGGTTAGATGATAAACTTTATGTTAATAACAATTATTTTTCTTTAAAATTAAAATTATCCGTTTAAAAAATATGTATTCGATTTTTTGTTTCCATTTAGAAAATAATAATGATAATGTATAATATTGTAGTACCCATAAGTTATGAGAACGGAGTTAAAGTTAACTCGAGCTGTACCTATAATAGTATATAGGTATTGACATAAATACAAGATTGGACTTATATTATGTTATCGACTTATTGGTATTAAAATATTATTTAAAGTACAGCAACCATTATTTAAAACCATAAGCTTACAAAGCAGTTAATATTTTATGAACAGTATTATTGGTGAATAAAAATATTATAACACAATGAATAATTATGTAAACGTATAAACAATGATTATAAAATGAAGTTAAACATAACGATATTTAAAGAAATCGGACAACAATGATCGTGCACGAGCTGTTACTGGTAAAGGCATTCAAATAAATTGGTCAACAATGATCGTACACGAGCTGTACCTACTATCAGCCTCCACGTGCGCCAACGAATAATTATTGATATATTACATTTACAACAAACTTAAAATTGTGATAGGTGTCTCATAAGTGTTACATTTCCACGAATTACTTATCATATTAATATATTAAATTTTACTACGTTTGGCTGACTTGAAAACGATGTTGATTAAAGTGAATAGATAGGTCCTAATACCTAATATATTTTAGATAGGTTCCATATTATTATTATGCAGTTGTTAGGTACGTAGGAATTACAAGTTAATTGTTATATATTCTATCAGTATTGTTATATTTTTCAGATTTTTTATAGTTGAATTACCTTCTAGGTTCCGAACATTATTAGATATTTTCTTTCATTAAATATCGTTAAAAATAATATAACATTTTAATATTAGAAAAAAATAATATTAATTAGAAATTAGTACGCCTAGTACGTTTTAGTATTATCTATGGTAGGTACATTATATTGTAGAGAATATTATACATTTTAGATTATGCATTTGCATTTACAGTGAAATGTTATGGTCAATTATTTTCTTACAACACAATATTGAAAAATAAAGTCGCTACGCTCTCTTGAATATGTATGAAGTTTTAAAAGTAAATAGCATGTACAATATACTGAGTTGTATGTCTTTCGAGCGGGTATAAAAAGTTAATTCAAATTACAATTATATATACATAGCGTGTGCAGTCATGGCGATAAATTAAAAGTATAAATTACTTATTTATTTTTAAATTTACTGTAATATGCGTAGGTATAACTGTAGGTATATTATAGTAATATTATTATAGGTGTAATTGTAGGATAACAATTTAAAACAAATAAATATATATTATATACCTCGTACAAAAGCAATAAAGTTATTGTTCAGCACGCAAATAGTGTTAGCTATTGTAATTTATAATAGTAATGAAATTTTAAATGTGAATAAAATATTTTCGCTATCCAAATTGGCAATTTCATACAACATGTATTTAATAACTGGTGTTTAGTGTTATAGCATTTTTTTTTTTGGAAGCCACTAAAAAAACAAAATACTTATTATTTATTTATACCTACTATTATATTTGAATATATCTATAATAACCATACGGCTATAATACGTATCAACTATATTAGTACCTACCTACATATTTTTGTTTTTATTGTATTTCAACACAATATACCCAATATAATCGCATGGTCAATTGGATTCAATTAATGTTTGAATTGATTAAAATATTATTTTATAATAGGTTAAATACCGATTAAATATTATCAATATAGCAATTCCCACATTAAGAAATATAAAAACAATGTGTATATGAGCTTTTTAAAGGTGACAGTTAAAAACTTAAAACTGTCTCTATTTGTATTATATTTTGAAGATACCTGTAAAAAGGTTATAAATGATAACACACATGTTTAACATAATATTGTTTATGGAATAATCATCTAATATTGTTGTGATAATCGGTGGTCGAATTACTAAACGAATGGCCAATCCCTATATTATAAGTTTTCATTTATACAATTTTTTTCTTCTACTTATTTCGCACTAAAATCCATTCTATATTATTCTATCTCATCATGCTTAGACCTTCGATTTGTTTTTTTTTTTTTTTTTGTAAGTGACTTGTAGATATTTGAATACTATATACGCAGTTTACAGTCTCTCCCACTTAATTAGGTCCGCTACTATTCAACTACTTTAATTTATACTTCCTATGAATCATTTATGGACAACTATTTATGCTAAAATTGTTTAATAACACTTTGTATATCAATGACTTATAATCAATTATAATAGTACCTACGTATTAATTATTATAAATCCAGACAAGTTTCAGAGACAATGGCGATTATGAAACTTTCCTTGCTTTGCTCAACTCGGTGCAGTGTGTTCATGTAACTTTTTATAAAACATTTTAAATCTAAAACTTTGATCATATTACATTTGAAGATATCTTTATTAAAAAATAAAGTTGTCTGGCTGACATTTCTTTCGAAAACAATATAATAATTGTTGTAAGTTATTTTTTAAAACTAGAAAAGTTATTGAGAACATTTTATATTTTAAAACTATACATTAAACTTTATAAGCATTCATATCTAGCATTTTACATAGAAAAAAAAATATGGTAGAACCAATATATTTCTCGTTTTTGAGACGACTAAAAATGTGTATAATATTATGTAAAAATTATTCTTTAGGATATAGGTATATTTTTAATATCACAGAAATGTATCAATCAGCAATCATATAATGTATTATTAATTCTTACTATTATTATTATATAGCTTATATTTTAAAATGATTAAAATAAATGAAGATTAATGTAATACTGCGAATAATAATAAAAATAATGAATTAACTTTAACTGAGTAAATTATTAATATAATATTAATATATAAATATATATTTGTTACAAACTAAAAGTACCAATTTTATAATATTCAAAATTAATTTCAATAGGTTAAAAATTATAAAGTTGTAATTGGTTGTAATTTATTATACCGAACATTTGTTACAGTTAAAAAAACACAAAATGTTATATGTATGATACAGAATATTTATAATAAATTCTTATAGGATTAAATTGTAAAAAAAAAGAAATGGTTCAATGATTAAAAATGGTTAAGTCGTAATTATCTAGACAAAAAAAAATCGAATAGTAATGATAAGGAACTAGGAAGTAGGTACAATGCGTTTTCGTTACATAGCTTAATATTTATTCAGTGTCACGCAATATCGATTCTACTATATTCAATGGTTAAAAATATGAATAAAAAGGTAAATATTAAATTTAATACCATTCGGCATTCAGAATACAAATAATTTAATAGTA